TGCAATTGTATCGTATAATACAATTACGTATTGACGAAAAGAGAGAGATTGTTATCGTTAATTTGGATACGTTCTACTATCAATTTTCAGGACTATTAAAAGCTCAATTATTAAGCTAAAATCGATAATTCATAATGATTTGTAATTAGTGCGAAAATACGATATAAACACGATTTCATTGAAATATTTAATTTCATTATGGATTTTATTTTCTTAAAATTTCCTATTCAATTTCGTATATATTATATTAAACTATAGAACGGTAATATCGAAAATTTATGATTATCGGTTAAATCTAATGAAATTTCTTTGTGAAATTTCATTTCATTTTATTATCGTTCATTTCAATTTACCTCACGTCGATTAAGAATGACGCTTTGAATGCAACCGACGAAGCTGCTCGTTGTTTTAAGTTTGAGCGAATAGAGATCGGGCGATGGTGCACCACCGAGATAAAGATTCAATGGTAAAAATAATTGCGTGTATGCGCCTGGTGCCAAAATCTCTCGAATTGGATCGTCCTCGACTTTGAGAGATGCCAAACGACCGGTCCTTGATACTTTGATTTCTAACCATTCTCCTAAATGAACTGGGTTGTCGCTTCTAAAATAATAATAATAATAATAATAATAATAATAATAATAATAATAATAATAATAATAATAATAATAATAACTATAATAATAATAATAATAATAATAATAATAATAATAATAACAATAGTAATAAAAGTTAAAATTAACAATGATAATAAGTGAGACAGTTTTTTCTTTTTTAATTTTTCAAATCAAATTAATAATGACAAATCCCAATGACACGATTAGGTGTGATTTTTTTTTTTTTTTTTATAAAATTATGCCAAACGGCATACTTTGTAACGGAATATTAATGATATTTTTTATTGACGAGAAAAGATAATGAAGAAAGATAAAAAAAAAAAAGGAAGAAAATATAACGATGGTTTATAATTAAACGTTTCAATATAGAAATCGATAGACCTTAGGCTTGCTGCTCCAGTTCCTAAATCGAAGGTGAAATGTACGTATCCCGAAGAAAGATAAAGAGCGATAAAATCACCAGAAGCATCGCTGTGATGCCCATTGTAAATGATAACACCGTCGGGAGCCGTAGGCTTTAAGGTCACGGATAATTCTAACCAAGAGAGTGAAGCATCACCTAATCCTGGATAACGTAAATAGGATGACCCATTAAACGATGGTACCTATAAAAATTAAAGGATAAATAGTCATTAATAATACAGAAATAATTATTCATCTTGATTTATTTGAAATTTTAAATGTGTCTCTGTGTGTGGGCGTACGATCTTTATTAATCAATTAATAATACTTCAATAATCTATTATTTATTAATATTTACAGAAATATTTATCTATATGTCAGATGTATCTTATTCGTTCGAAAGTTTATTATCACGTCATACTTCGTTCCATCTATCATTGAAAAACTTGATTTATATTACTATTATACATGTACGCACGAAAGGTTGCATATCACGAGGAGTTGCACCAAAAGTTTCTAACCAACGGATAACAGTTGCAACCGTAATTATCAATGAGTGAAGAGTGTTGCCTATCTCGAGGCATATAATATATTTAATATTAATATCTTTAAGCACACACATAAATATTTAGATCAGTAGATAGTATTTATTCATTTTGATTCGTTATTATTCAGATTTATAACATTTGATACTATTTCCGATAACATATATACATATATCTCTGATAAGATAAAAAAAGAAACTATGAAAATATCATAATATCCACGTGAAAACGATTATAAATTACGACGATTATAGATTAAAGTACGTACGTTAACTGTTAATAAAATAACCGTATAAAATTTTTAGCTGAATCATTTTTCTCGATAATAAATTATCGTTAAATACGTCGACTTGTATACACTTTCGTAATTTGTGTTCCTAATTGTAAATCTCCGAATGTTCTCCTATAGAACATTTATTCCCTACGCAGACAATGTCAGAAATCCTTTTAAGACTGTTAATCGCTGTAATAAGTTAGAGGTCGAAAACTGCGGAAGTGGATGTTACGTGTAAGGCAAATACTCGGCCATTAGTGTCAAGGTTCGTTCGTTAGTCAGTGCCCTTTCTCTCTCTCGCTCTTTCTTTCTCTCTCTCTCTCTCCCTCTCTCTCTCTCTCTCTCTCTCTCTCTCTCGTTCATAAAACGAAATTGGGTTGAGTAAAGGCTTTGACGCAGGATCTAAAGATTCTAGCCTACATGACGACGATTACTATCTTAAAATCATGTTTACCTTGCTGATCTAATTTCCCCATATATATATATATATATATATATATATATATATATATATATGTATTTTTATTTATATATATATATATATATATATATATGTATTTTTATTTATATATATATATATATATATATATATATATATGTATTTTTTTTCTACGTAGAAACAAAGTAAGAAAAAAAAAGAAGAAACATTGATTCAAAAAGTAGTAACACGTATGACCGTTTCTTTCAAAAGAAATTTCATAGAAACTCTAATTCTTTGGAACTAGTTTGCAAAGGGAAAGAATTTTTTCATCAAAACTTTTCATACATTTTCTTCTTCGACTTTATCTTCTATGTAAAAAAAAAAAAAAAAAGAAAAAAGAAAAAAAAAAGGAGAAAAAAGAAAAGAAAAAGTAAAAGGAAAAAGAAAAATGAAGGAAGAAAAGAAAATAGAATCGAAATCGAAAAGGAATCGACGTCCAAAGACGTACTCTATTTTACGAAAAGAAAACTTTTCAAGATTTCTAATGCGATCTTATCGTCTCGATTGCTAGAAACTCTCGCACGCTAACAAGAAGATAAGAGTTAGTTTCCATTATCGAAAGAGCTATTACTCTGATCTATAGTTTTGTTTTAAATACGAGTAAAATAGTTTTGATTTTCGATTGGTTGAGTGAAATACAGATAGAGATAAAGATAGATAAATAGATAGATAGATAGATAGACAGAGAAAGAGAGAGAGAGAGAGAGAGAGAGAGAGAGAGAGAGAGAGAGAGAGAGATAGAGAGAGAGAGAGAGAGAGAGGGAGAGAAAGAACGTAGTTAAGACTAAAGTAAATTTATTGTGTCAACAGGAGAAACGTGTTCAATAACAAAAGATAAAATACAAAGGAATTATCTGATATCGTCTGATCGAAAGTATACTTCAAATATTTGTTATCGTTTCTCTCAGGAATAATTCAGAAAATTATTAGAAAATATTTTTGATCAAATTCAACTAAGGTTGACACCCCCATACATACATACATACATACAAACATATATATATATATATATGTTTATTTTATAACAGGATAAATCTCTTCTAATTCGCACGTACATCTAAAACGCATGCTCAGTGAAACTAAATGTTTGCTCATTCACGAACCCATTCACTATGAATGGACATGTATGTACGTACGAATGTAGATGTGTATATATGTGTGTGTGTGTGTGTGTGTGTGTATCTATATTTGCTTGTTTGTATGTACGTTCGTACGAGAGTAAGCAGACGTGTATAGATGTTTTCGTGCGTATGTAAACCATGAATTGGAAATTCAGCCTATAGCTATAGATAAACGGTTGGTCGAACGTTTCTAATATTTACTCGAGTTAACCTATTAGTCAAAAACATTTGCTTTAATGTTAATAATCAGATCTTTATATGAATGTTTGCAACGTTTTACTTTTATCCATTCAACTATCCATCTATCTATTTATCTAATCGCCTAACTCTTTTTATTCTCGCGTAGAAGTGTACCGTTTATATGAGCAATCTCCTAAAACGTGACCGAGAAAGACGTACACCTCTTCTCTCAAATCAACATCGAGAAATATCGACAAAGACCAACTGAATATTCTACACCTAGTCAGGAGGGAGAGTTGAACGTGTAAACTCCGAGAATTATTCAAACCTAGAATCAGCATACTTCGATCGGAACGATAAAGCTATCTTGCTAACGAATTGTCTGTCTTTATCTCTCTCATTCTCATTCTCTCTCTCTCTCTCTCTCTCTCTCTCTCTCTCTCTCTCTCTTTTCTCAGATTTTAAATCGCTCATTTTAATTCCATCTCTTGTTAACTTTCTTACAAATTTTAATACGGTGAAACTCTATTTGCTATCCTTAAAAAATTAAAAAAAAAAAAAAAAAAGAAAAAAAAGTTATAAAGAATGAGAAAAATAAATCCATCATCTTTTACATAGTTCTATATTCTTTGAATTTAAAGATCTTTCGATATTTTTGCATTAATAAATGGCAAAAAATTGAAAAGTCCATCCGATCAAATTTTTCTATTTTAAAAACGTTCGGCATCAATCGATAGTTCGTTTTAAAACGAATCTATTTTTAAAATGACCGATTGTCAAAAAATTTTAAAATTATCGACAATGAAATAATAATCTAAATGATAAATGCTTCGACGAGAATGAAATTAAAATATTAGATTAGATAGATTTTATTAATTTCTTTTTTTAATTTCGATCAATTATATAACCATTATTTAGGCGATATTATTATGCGATAACGCGTTATATGAAAATTTATATATATTTCTTCTTTTTCTCTAACAAGTTAATATCACATGTACGATCATCCATCCAGCAGGATCGACGGATTCCAGATATCTGAATAATGGATGAAAGTATGTTCCACATTGGTTTCTTACCAAGAAAAGCCGAAGATCCGGGAAACTTTACGAATGTGTCTTTTTTTCCTTCAAGTGTGAAAGAAAGAGCGAGAGAGAGAAAGAGGGAGGGAGAGAGAGAGAGAAAGAGAGAGAGAGAGAGAGAGAGAGAGAGAATAAAATGATCGAAATAGAAGAGAAAAAAGAAAAAGAAGAAAAAGAATAAGATGAAGAAGAAGAAAAAGAAGGAGAGAAAAATGAATAATAAGTAAAATCGATAAAATCGATTATGCGCAAAAAAAAAAAGAAAGATATAAATTCTCTTAAATAATAATTTTCATTAACTTTGCAAATTATTATTGTCATCGTCGTCGTCATCTTCGTTCCAATAAAAAAATTAGAAAATATTAAAAACTTATGAACGTTTCTTTTCTCTTTCTCTCTCTCTCTCTCTCTCTCTCTCTCTCTCTTTCTCTTTTCCTTTTTTTTCTCTTCCTTTTTCTTTTTTTTTTTTTTTAATAAAATGAACGGAATACTGCAGTAATAAAAGTAACGAAAGGAAAGATGCATTAGAAAATTTTTCTTTTATGGGATATGTGTTCCCGTCGAGTTATAGAGACCTACATTAAGTAAGTGCCTAACTATATACAATTCGAGCGAATATAGAATATAAAAATTTGGAAATTTTGTGTCTTAAATAAAAGTCTCGTTGGTAAAAGTATTTTTCGAAAAAGGATAAATCTAACTCATTCACTCTCTCTCTCTCTCTCTCTCTCTAGTTATTATTTTTCATATTTTCACTGAGACACATAACTGATCTGTTATGAAAGATATTCTTTCAAAAGTTTAATAAATTAGAAAAACAATAAAATATTTACATTCTTTTATGCTTTCAGATTTTATGAGCATATGTATGCGCGCACCTACTTGTGATTCAGACAATTTTCATTATCATTAGTAATTTTTATTATATTTATTAAAATGGAACGTATACATACGTACATCATGTACAATGCAATTGTGTGTGAAGAAGAAGAAAAAAAAAAGAAAGAATAAAAAAAAAAGAGAGGAGAGAAATTATCGATAATAAAACATATATATGTGTGCGTTCGCATGTGTATGTGTACGTGCGTGTATTTACCTGAAGGTCTACTCTAGTCTCACAGAGATCACCGGTGTATCCAAGGGGACAGAGACACACTGCAGTGTCACCACCGGTTGTCAGACATTTTCCACCATGGGCGCATGGCACTTTGCTGCACCTATCCGCCGTGCATTCCTCTGAAAGGGCCGAGTAATTCGAGTGATTTAATTAAACGTCCCTTAAACGTTCGTAATTAAAATCCGAGATGTACCTCACCGCCGGGAGATATATATACATATATATATATATATATATATATATATATATATATCTCCGATTTTACTTTTATTCGCTTAGTTTCTCTCTTCCTTCGTCCCTGACACCTTTAATTTCCCCACCTTTCCTTCTCTTTTTTTATCTTTTTACTTTTTACAGATATATGAAGTCATACGAAACAAATAATTCCATGAACCTTTCTTCGTAATGCTTCACTACATTCTCGAGGATTCATTTAATTTTCTATCTTTTATTCTCTCTCTTTTATTTCTTGTTTCTCCCTTTTCTTCTTTTTTTCTTTTTCTTTTTTTTCTTCTTCTTTTTTTTTTTTTTGGTTTTGTTTTCATATCTCTTGACGCGCAATTTTTTTTTATATTGTTCTCGACGTAATGGAAAATGTAACGGATGATTATATTTCGAAAACTCGAAATTGAATGTCTTAACATATTTTTGCTTCGCAACGGAATTTAAAAATATCGCGCTTGTGCGATACACATGTGCTCTATTCGTATCAATCACTTAATGGTATTACACGTGAATTCACATTAAATTTCTATCTCATAATAAAAAATAATTCTTTCTTGGAAACATTTTATAGGCCGATTATTATTACTTTCTTTTTCTTTTCTTTTTCTTTTTTCTTTTTTTCTTTTTTAAATCCAGGAAGAAATTAGGTCTTTCCGATTTGAAGAAGGAGTAATCGCTTTTCAGAATCTTGACTTAAGAACTATTCTCTTGGCCCATTCAACGTAGACGATTATTATTATTATTATTATTATTATTATTATTATTATTATTATTATTATTATTATTATTATTATTATTATTATTATTATTATTATTATTATTATTATTATTAGTATTATTATTATTATTATTATTATTATTATTATTATTATTATTATTATTATTATTATTATTATTATTATTATTATTATTATTATTATTATTATTATTATTATTATTATTATTATTATTATTATTATTATTATTATTATTATTATTATTATTATTATTATTATTATTATTATTATTATTATTATTATTATTATTATTATTATTATTATTATTATTATTATTATTATTATTATTATTATTATTATTATTATTATTATTATTATTATTATTATTATTATTATTATTATTATTATTATTATTATTATTATTATTATTATTATTATTATTATTATTATTATTATTATTATTATTATTATTATTATTATTATTATTATTATTATTATTATTATTATTATTATTATTATTATTATTATTATTATTATTATTATTATTATTATTATTATTATTATTATTATTATTATTATTATTATTATTATTATTATTATTATTATTATTATTATTATTATTATTTTACTTTTTCATTTTTCTTTCTGTGTCTAAAGAAAAGAAAAAGAAAAGTCCAACAAAAAAATTATCAAGGAAAGTGGTTCTTACCAACGTCGAAACCATTGGCTGCGTCGCCCTG